CTTTAATGCACAAATTGTCCTAACATCGAAGACCTACCTAACAGTTGACCTCAGTTGAAGTTACCGGTCTGCCGTATATCATCCGTACCATTAAAACCGCAACCGGAGTATCTTACTGCTCTCTATAATTATAAATCTCTATTTGATTCTCCGTGTAGGCGGTGTAGCCTTGGATAGTCAATAGACAATATATTGATTCACGCGGTCGATCAAAACAACACCAAGTATCCTGTTTACTGGTTTCATACTGTTTGGCTGGCTTTATGCCTGCATGGCCCTATATGTAGGTTTTCAGAGGTTGTGAGAAACATTAATCTATCTACAATGCTAAACAATGTTATATCTAAATTTAAGAAATTGGTGTGCGCGCGACTTTAATTGAGCGCAAATTTCGATATAATCACTAGGACATGGCCATGGGCATATAAAATAGGTATAGCTAACTCAATCTAAGTCTGAAGCTTTGTCACATGAGGCTAAGTATGTGCAAGCAAAGCATGTTTTTTTCCAGTGTTTCAAGCTGTTCACATGAATAGGAATGAGGAAATTAAATTTGAGGCTAAATATACCTGATTTTCTTATTACAAGGTATATATATATAGACATGTTGAAGGAATAAAACTGTGCCACACTATAAACCCAAGTGTGCGACTTAATGGGTATTTTTAATATTTGGAAATCTTTCCAAAATATCTGCCAATGTGAAAAAAAAAAAATTAAAAACAAAAGTGTAGATTTTTTTTAATACAGCAACAAGGGCATATATAGACAAAACAGGAGTATTTTTGTAAGTGTATTATTATTTGGATAAAGTTACCACCATATAAAGTGATTCATATCTTTGCAATGAAATTAGGCAAGTTCTTTCCTATTTAGGCTTTACCAATGGTCAAAGACAAAGTCCAGTCCATTTGCTAGTATAGAAAATGTTCCCTTTCCAAGTATTAGTTTTGGGTATTTCTATTTAATATTTGAGTCATTCCCAGAAGGAATGTTTGTTTTAATTCAAATAACCTGGAGAGCACTTTACTGCCCACACAGCATAACATGACCTAGGTCCTTTTCCAGGTAAATACAGTGGACCAACTACAAAATCTACTGGTGTCCCACTGCCGGCACTGGCTTGGAATCATCATAAGTGTACAAACTGCATGCCATCATCCTCATTTCCAATATTAAACATTTAATTAAGAGCCAAGAGGGTAAGGAGAGCTACTCTCTGTATACACTTGTGAAATGTTGATGAGGACGACCCCTTACTCATTAGTCTACATTCATTTGGCATATACAGCACAAAGTCAGAGCATAAATTATACCTTACCAGGATTTGAAATTTAATTTTTTTCAGTATCCCTATATAAGCTATTGAGAAACTACTGTAGACATTTAACATTATCGTAATGTTGTTTGAAATTTTGCAATATCCAGTTGGATACAAGTCATTTACAGTTTAATGCTATCCAAAACCGAATTTTAGTATCCTGTGGATATCAGCCGGGATACCGCAAATTTCAGAGCTTGAGGACCTTATATATAGTATATCATACTAGCTAGCATAGGCACACTGATTAATTATCAGCATATGTAATTAACCTATCAACTCACAAACCTGAGGGAGATTGATCAAACCTGGATTAGTACGAATGCTATATGATGAATATAAAACTTCTATATAATAAATCAAATATAAAACTTTAAAAGCCACAACCTAATCAACATTTGAATGAGAGATAAATTGAGTAAATACTGATTCACAATGTGCTCTAACATGCACTTAAGGTGGATCAATACACTTTTCAAAAATTCAGGTGTTCGTCACTTTGACATGTTCAAACTATGCATTTTTTATTTTTCTCACATGATCCTAAGGCTGAGATCCTGTTTGTATGTGCTTTGCATTTGAAATATAATAGTTCAAAAATACATACAAACCGATAGATAAGTTTTCCCGATTTCTCAGCGCTTATTGGGTCGTTCCAGAAAAGATCCATACTCCCCCCACAGAGGAAATTTCTGCCGTCTGGAGGGGGAGGGGAGAAAAAATTGTTTCTGATAATAGTAAATGTATTAGGACATCCGAAGGGGGTAGGGGGGTTAACTTCCCATTTCCTCCGTGGAGGTGGTATGGATGTTTTCTGGAATGACCAATTCTTGTATTTTGACAACATTTTGTAATATTTAAATTCTAGATTGGCTAAGGTCAAAATGGCATGGCATGGTGTAACAACCGGGCCTGGCCCCTGTGTTAATCTTTGAAGGGCAGCAGAGCTTAGCCACTATGACTAAGTGTGGCAGCAGTGCTAATGTCAACCTATGGAGGAACATTTCTGGAGGCATAGTTTGTACTAGGGGTGGATGCAGTTAGGATGAGCCGATGAGGTCTGGGAGTTTTGGTTACTTGGCAGGGCCATAGCCACCAGTCCGGTTTGTACGGTTTCAACTGCAGCAACAAAACATTTTTTGAGGTGTTAGACTTTGTGCCAATATTATAGGTAAAGTTTTATCTTGGAGCCAATGGTGGCCAAAATGGTTATGATTAAGATACTTTCTTTGGGCAAGTATGCTGTATATACAATCATTATTAGTGTAATCAATTTCGGGACTCGAAACTAACCGTACTAATTTAATATAAATTGGTGGTGGCCCTGCTTGGAGTGGTAAAATTTCGGGGAAATATCACTTTGGTAGTCAGGTCCTGTCAAAATACATGTTCACGTGATGCGGACCTGAATCCAAGTAACTCATATCCATAGATCATTAGACATTACACGGCTATAAAAAACGATCAATCCTGTTAAACAGCTGGCTCATAATTTTTACGCATGTAGCTGACCACGTCTGCACCTAACCATCCAATTAATTTAACGTTTCAAACGACTTATTAAACCTTTACGTTTTGGCGCTATTTTTTAAATTTCGGCATCATGACATTGAAAGGAATATTTCATGAACCTAACTTCGAATTCTCAACAAATTACTCAACTTTACTTTACCTCGATCAGTCTTTTACTCTTTTCAAGTGCGTGAGCGACCCTATAGCCACAGAATTTTGCTAGCGTTTGACGCTCGAAGTCCAAGAACGATGTCACCACTGATACATCTATTCCGTTCTGTGGCACTGACTCACACCACTGACCACTCTCACAAAACAAACACACGCTGCGATTATTAATCGTGTACGGAATCGTATTCTGGCGTATTAAAATGAGTGCTGGCACCATAATTCACTGCTGTTTCCACAGCTCAGTAAAGCCTCAGTCTATACTGTGGTAAAGCTCAGTGGTTGTTTTGTTAAAAAGAAATTTCAAATGTAGCCAGCTCACGCGTGTTTACTCAATGACATACGCCAGAAAACGAATCGTACACGATTAATTAAACGTAGCAGATTCGGATTGGATTACATACCATTCGATCTGCCATTCGCCAATCTAACATGCATTGTTATTTCGCCAAGGTCATTCGGATTGGCTTTACATGCCATTCGCTCTGCCAACATGCATGTCATTCGGCAAGGTCATTCGGATTTCCGAATGACATGCATGTTACATTAACAAATGGCAGAGCGAAGAGTGTCAAATGTAGCTGCGAGCGGTCCCTCCATTCCGCGGGTTCAGATTTCCGGGCATACAAAAGGAAAGGAGGGACCATCAAGAAACGAAATATGCCCACGCAACGCAAAATTCCCATTGGTCGAAATCGATACGCCTGTCAATCAAATCTGATACGTAGTAATTATGCTATAAATCATTTCCAGATACACAGGCTATAGCTATTTCCAGACTAAATTTCCAGACTAAATGTTGATTTGGATATATTTAATTCGATATAAGTAATGATAATTATCCAGCCCCTAACCTGCGAACGGGCATACCTGGGTATTAATAGCCATAGAAATATTAGACCTATGTCGAATGATCTTCTGAAAATTGGCGATTGGCTTTAAAAGGCACATAAACTGACACTAAATATAAAGAAAACTAAAGCTATGGTTATTGGAAGAAAATTCAGAAACCTGATTTCAGCCTCCGTTAAAATATATGATTACATGTATTCAGCCTCCGTTAAAATATATGATAGATTACATTGGTATCGAAGGAACTAGATTCTGTTTCGAAATATCACTTACTCGAACCGTCCTGACCGCGTAGCTCAGTTGGCAGAGCATTGGGCTAGTATTCCAAAGCCAAAGGTCGTAGGTTCGATTCCCACCGTGACCGGGCATATGTTTCAAGCTCGCCCGGTGTGGATATACACTCAGAGTAACATCACAAATATCATATTCACCTGAGTACACAACACCAACACAGAAAAAAAAATGAAATAGAAACAGTTCAGCAGTACACACACCTTGGAGTCATCTTTACAGCAAATATGACATGGACAGTGCATATAGACCACCTTTGTGCTAAAGTCAATAAGCGTTTGGGTCTGCTAAAGCGAATTAAGCATCTCCTTCCACACTATGCAAGAGTCCTCTATTACAATAGTCTAGTTCAACCACTGTTTGATTATGGAGATCTTGTATGGGGAGACAAAAATAACTGTACAGTGATGCAAAACATGCAAATTCTTCAAACGAAAGCAGCCAAGGTAATTTTGGATCGACCACCTTTTTCGTCTGCTACCGAAGCTCTTAGAACTCTGGGATGGAGGAATCTTTCCCAGCGAAGACATTATCGTAGATATGACTCGTGTCTCGGAAATACATGAACATAACACACGATCCAAGAACAGTTTGCGTTTGCCAAGAGTCAAAAGAAACTAGGGCAAACGAAGACTAGCGTACCATGCCTGCAAGGATTGGAATAGCCTTAGCGAAACCGTGAGGAATTCTAACATAACTATACGTTTTAATATCCTATACTACAATAAATTGTCATGTATATAATCAATTTGTCTCCAGGGCCTTTCTGAAAATCACGCTGGTGAGAAAGTTTCCTGTCAATAAAGATTATGATTATGGTAATAGCAAAAAGTGGGCGTATTTCGTTTCTTGATGTGTTGTCGGCGGTCCCTCCTTTCTTCCGAGGGACTACTCCTATCAATGTATATAAATTGCATTATTTATAGTCGTCGAAACTCTTACTGTTACAAATTCTAGTTTACAAAGAGAGTGCTCAAATATCCTGAAGATGAGGCAAATGAGGCTGAAGATGCCAGGTGCGAAGATTGTAACATGATGTACTGCGTACGAGACTATTGCGCAAATGATCTCGGGATCTGATTTGGCATGATGTGTTTATTATAATCTGATTTGGCATGTGTTTATTCATGTATTTTCACTTGGTTATCAATATGTCATGTCAAACACCCTAACGCTAAGAGATTCATGTGCAAGGACATGGTTGTCCTTTGCAAACTGTTGAAAAAGGGTTGTCCTTTGCAAACCTTAAACTCTAAACCTTAACTCTAATCGTGCAAAGCATAATGGGAGCATCATTTAATCAGTTTAGAAATCATATATAGGGCCCATTTCTTAGAGACATGGTAAATATCTCCTTGAGAACAATTCATTCACAAGTAGCTGCAATATTCAACTACCAACCTGAAACTCCGATTAAGCTTTGCGCGCTTGGAGTTTAAGGTTTGCAAAGGACAATCCGGCTCAACCTCGTACCAAGGGCGAAGGTAATACACTGGGTACGAGGTTGAATGAATTGGCTGTATAACTTTTGAATGAATTGGCTGTATAACCGAAAATACTAGTTAGTTGTGAGTAAGCTTGAATACAGGAAAAGTTGAAAACTAAAGACTGTGGGCGTTTTCCATTTAATGGTCTGACCGGACAGACCCGAATATTTGGCTCTGTATCAATGGAAACATCTGGTCTATGTTTCTCAAATAAATTGGCTTCATTCTAATTTTATCTAAATTTTCCGGTTAGATAGATTCGAAGCCCAACCGTTTTGTGTTCAATTCAACCGTTCTGATCGATCTCATCGTGTTAATGGAAAGCGCCCTGTGTAAAGCTACATTTGAACAGTAGTAAAGATTTTGAGGAAGCCAAACATTTTATTTTGCTTTAGTTTATATATGCTTTAGAGATCGTTTATAGCCTTACAAACGGCTTTGCTGTAGCCTGCGTAGCAGTCGCTTATTTTATTGAAGGTTTTGAGGGTTTTGAATAAATGGCGGGTTCAAAAATCCTCAAAACCTTCTACAAAACAAAGCGACTACTACGCAGGTTAGCTTTGCTGTACCATTATATTCATATACAAGTATTTACGGAAATCTGTCTGGTTCTACAGAAAAACAATTCAAAGACAGTTCCATGACACACAACGTCTTATTCCTTTTCAACTTGTTCGCGTGTCAATTTCTTGCCCAGCGATCCACCAGGATGGTTATGCAGGAAGTCAGTTTTTGTGAACTTTCTTCTCGCCATCAATTCACATTCAATCGCATTAACAATCATCTCCTATGGTAGGGGAAAAATGTAGAAGTTATTAAGTACCAGAATTATCTATTAAACCTCTGTGCAGGGGTCTAACCAAACATCCACATCAAACGAGGATGACGAGAGTTAGCAGTCACGCATTGTTACAGGGGACATTTTAAGCTCTAAGTTAGCAAAATAAAGGTTTGATGAGTGTGTTCTTACTTCTAACTATGTTTTAACTAACTAAAAGACATGATGTTGGGAAAGCGTGAAGAATAGGTAACAAAGGTCGACTGCCAACTCTCATCCTCGTTTGATCATTACCGCATTTTTTACTGTGTTTCAGTTAATCTAGAAGGTAATCTTCTTTGGGAGGGCTTAATAGAAAGGATACGGTATTCATCCCCCCTCAAATACGAGAGGAAAATCAGTAACACTCGGTTTCTAGAAGGTAATCTCCTTTTGGGGGGCGGGGCTTAATAGAGGATTACGGTATTCATCCCCCTCAAATACAGGAAAATCCGGTAACACTCCGGTTTCTAGAAGGTAATCTTCTTTTGGGGGGGGGGCTTAAAAGAGGATTACGGTATTCATCCCCCCTCAAATACAGGAAAATCCAGTAACACTCCGGTTTACTCGAAACCTTGCCATTTATAGCTATACCCATTTACAGGAAATTCAAACATATTGGAATGTGTAAAGCAAGTGAAATCCTCTTCTTATCAGACACACATTGACTTTGGTATTTCCTTTTGGCAATATGGAAAACGGATTAATATAGGAGCTCCTTGATTAAATAATCAAGATTCAACATTCTGTCTGACCTTAAAATTAAACTTAATTAAGATCCATTCTTTCTACTCTTCTACTGGCGAAATACTCATGATATCGTAAGTTAGAAAGAACCTTGGTCAAATAATGAAAGCAGTTTAATCCTGTTTCCTCTGATAAACTAGCTGATGAACTTACAAATTTTACTCGACATGCGACAAGAACTAATGCTAGCCTCAAAATATAAATGTTTATATTAATCATATCGTATTTCGTTGTATTTCCTACGTTCCTGGTAAATCGTTTATAGTTATTGATGTGAATGAAGATTTTTTGAGAACTTACTGTAATTTAACGTCGCAGAACTACAGAGTTGCAGGGTGGACAAAATAGGCGAGCACATGAGCATTGCTCGTTTTGAATGAAGATTTGCTATTGAAAATTTGAAGGAAACCTTAACATCCACGTCCCACTATGGGCGCAACAACATGACAGACATTATTCCTTGAATTTAAAAGATAGAACACGGTCAGATAGAACACTATATGTTTATGCACATGCAGATTTAGCACAAAAATACTCCGTTGGTCTGCAGGAAATTTTTGTCTCCAGGTTGTGCTCCCAGGAAGAAAATTATTTTTCCACCCTGCACAGTTGCCTGCGGAGGAGGTTAGGAGTGTCGAAAGATGAATGAAGTATAGAAACTACCAACGTATTTGGATTTACAGAACTATCGGTCTCATCAAGTTTGGCTAGTGGATATGTGCTTATTACTGTTGATAAATTAAGTGAAAAGCGATGTACGGGTACGAGTAGTGTCATCTTGTTTTACTGATGTCTGTAATTCGATCATACTTTTTTCTGTTCTCTTGCAATAGACAATGATATAATGCGAAAAATGTGCACCTTAATTACGAGTAAAGGTACAGATATCGACGAAAATATTGCTAACCAAAATCATGCTACCCGTACACGTACACCGAAACCGGGGTATCTTAACCTCTCTAATGTGGGTACACGTCCTCGCTCAACAAAGTGGGAACTGAAGGTTACTCTTACGGTGGCTATCTATCACAGGAGTTTATTCAATTCAGGAGTGATCGACATTCTTTATTCTATTCTTTCACTTTCCATCCTTTAAGACTTTTGTCTGCGATTTCGTTTAACAGATTTCGTTTTATTTTGTCCTATTATCGCAATTTTAAGTGGTAAGATATTCCTGAAACCGCTAAATTCGATGTCGTGATAAGCGGAACCCAGTGCGATCCCTGTATATCGTAGCAAGAACTTCAGTCATTCGGCCTGTGAGAAAAGTGAAACCAAGATGGCGGCTATTGACGTCAGTAGCTCTGAAGGTCGTAAACAGCTCTTATACCATTTTCCCCAACAAATTCCTGTTTTTTTTCTAACGGACCGTACCGCTGACCAAGTTATCAGTTCATAAAACCATAGTGTCATTCTTTAAATCGGGGTCAAAATACGAAAATTCGGCACACTCCTTGCCAAGATGGCGGAAATTGAAGGAGCTATTTCGACGTCAGTTCCAGTACTTTTCCATTGTTTTTGTCTGCGCGGTTAACACGAAGCTGGCTTCACCTTTTAGACTCGAGTTCTCGCTCCAGATATATATATGGAGCTCACTGAGCGAACTCGGTATCGTGGGTGTAAGACACTGGACCACTGTGGATTAAGAGGGTTACCTGAAAAATATAAGCAGAACTTCGACGTTTCGACCGAAGAGTTGCCGACGAAGTTCCAAATTTTTCAGGTAGTTGTATCCCTCTCAATCCACAGAGGTCTTGATATCGTCGCTACCTGCACTGGTATCATCACTATGTCACAGGATAAAGATCAGTAATAGAAGGGTCACTCGGCGGTGCAACGTGTCCTCGTTTTTTTATGCAAAAATATATAGTTTACTGGCCAGAATGGACCATTCCCCAATTAACCAAAATTTTGAACTCAACAAGTCTAGACAAAAATTTCATCACAGCTTGAAAGAGCATCACAAAATTAGTAATATGTTTGTGATGTTACTCTGAGTGCATATCCACACCGGGCGAGCTTGAAAAATATGCCCGGCCACGGTGGGATTCGAACCTACGACCTTTGGAATACTAG